CAAAAAAGGTGCTAACCTGTGAATTTCTCAAATTCTGATGATTTTTGGGTGGAGAAAGGAAGGGTGTATGTGCGTGTGTGGGGGGAGGGGGGGTCCCAATTGCTTATTCGTTTCGGTGTTGTGGGGAGGGGGGGCAGGGTAAGGGGTTGAGGAGATATATCTCAGTTGCTTATAGTTTTAATATTAGGACAACTCGTGAAAGATCGTGTCTGTGTGTTAGTCTAAGCGCAAGAATCCCGCATGAGTGAGTGTAGATTATTTGTCTCTGTCTCTCTCTCTCTCTCTCTCTCTCTCTCTCTCTCTCTCTCTCTCTCTCTCTCTCTCTCTCTCTCTCTCAACAAAAAAGCAGTCATTAAACCCGGTCATTCAGACTACTATCTCTTGCAATCCCTGCATCGATAAGTTTAACAAAGAAGAACTAGCAGATGAGAAGAAACATTTATTTTATGTTAACTTCATATAACACATGACTGTATTTAGTACATCTAATGAATAAAATGGATCAAATCACAGTGCAGTTCAGAAAACATTCGCTCACCTCATATGTTATGACTTTAAAACGAAATAGGGACACTTAAAAATTATGGTGCTATAATTATGTCCAAACAATGCTTTAACACAATAATGTTCAACAAGTTAAGGCCTAAGACAATAGAAAAGAATTAAAGAAAAACCCTCGAAAAAAGTTGTGCCATCCTGAAGTCTCATTACCAGTGATTGTCTTGTGTAATTTCTATGTCTGTTTCTACTCTTTATGTTCTAGAATGGCATGCTTTAAAGAGTTAGTGTTTGTCTAATAGTATTGAGAGATGTGCTCAGATAATGATGAGTACGTGTGGAATTCTTTGCTGTTGTTGAGTGTGTAACACATGTAGAAATCAGTCGAGGGAAAGTCTTGAGTATTCAGCCCCATTCAAGAACATTGTGATGTCCTGGCTCCCTTTTCTTGCACTAATAAAAGAAAAACAACAATAAAACTGGATTTGAAATTTCGTTTGTGATTGTACTGGTTTTTTTTTCAAAAAGCCTGTTGTGTTTTTGTAATGCTCTATTGGACATGCTACATACCAATTGAAAGTTGGTGTGCCTAATGCCTTGACAGGGGAAAAAAAAAAGAAATTAAGCAGTAATCGATGGTGGAATCAAACGGCAAGCTTCCGCGTATTTGCCGAGTTAGAAAACAGCAGCGCCACAAACGAGCAGCTGTGACTTTAAAACAATAATAGTAATAATTTTCGCAGGGTTTTTTTTAGCAATAAATATTCCGCTGCCGACTTGCTAGGCCTGCCACAGTTTCACCAGCGCCCCGTTAGCTTGTAACTTGTTGGGGTGACCTGCGTTCTCCTTCACGGCTAGCGTGACGCCTCAGTGACATAAAGCCACACCGTACTTCGTTGAACCCAGCAATCCCTACTTTGTCCAGTTTCCACCTCCCGGGACGTGGACCTGGGGTTGGGCTTTGGGAGGCCAATAATGTTAGTTACCAGCTTACTCCACTACTGAAACATCCTAACATCGCCATGACAACAAAACTCAAAATGATCAACCAAACATGGACCACGAACAAGACATTAGAGCAAAGAATTACATGTGAAATGCGATGCCTTAGAAAAGCAGTAAACAAGACCAGGCGAGACAAAATCAGAAACTCCGTAATCAGAGAAATGGTGGTCACAAATGATGTCATGCATCACATCCAGCACCAAAGAATCAAATGGTTCGGACACCTCATGCGATTACCAACACACCATCCGGCACAACGTGCCTACATTAAAAAATTCGATGGCGACAAGGCTAAAGGGCGACCGAGAAAGACCTGTATAGATGGAGTCTGGGACATATTAACCACCCACGGCATCCCCGTGACCCAAGGTCTCCGGCTGGCGACAGAGAGACGTCTCTTTCTTCCCGCGACACCCAATAGGGTATAAGCGGCGGATAAAAGTAAAAGTAAAGTAAAGATGGTAATACCACCCTACTAGTCACAAAAAAGCCATTTCGAATGCCAACACTTACAAAAGGGCCAAGAAGAAAAATAGGCTGCGGGTGGAAAAGTGACTGAGAAGATATATTATACCAATAAAATTAGCAGCAACAGCAGCAACAGCAGCAACAGCAACAACAATACTACTACTGTCTTTTCCACTACCACCACCACTACCACTACCACTACCACTATTGCTACTACTGAGCCTATTAAGAAAAACATATTTGTTCGGACGTCAATGTCTGACGATGATCGTTGCATCTACAGAGGACAATAATATTCATGGAAAAGGAAGCAAGGAGTAAGAGGACCTTTTGGTTCTGCTATGGTCAATGAGACTAATTCTGGCATAGTTTGCCACATTTTGAGCATTTCAAAGCTTCATTTCCACTCATGGGTATGCCCTGCTTGCAGGCTTTCCTCTTGACACCAATATGAGTATGACATCTGAGCTACATCTAAGCCCCATTAGACATGCTGCACATCTGACTGGAACAAGGATGTCTGTGGGTATCTGGTAGGCTCTTTGTCTCTCAGCACAAAAGGCGTGACTTCGATTCTTGTGTGAGAAGAGCTTTGGGGTGGGGGAGGGGCG